ATTCTTGATTTAAAATACTCAATTACCTTTATTCATTATTCATTACCCATATTATTTTTGCTTTATATATTGTGCCAAGAGCTAATGTAATGATCTTTTAAATACGGAGGAAATATAAAACTAGTACGGAGTATTAGATAACATTTAGAAGGGAAAGTTCCTGAAATAGGACTAAAAAATTTTGAAAATTTCAAAATTTGACTGTCATGTTTTATTCGCAAAATAGGAGTAATTACTGTCAGAATTGGAAAATACTGCCATGTTTGAAGTATGGTACTGCCAAAACATGACAATAATTAGTTCTATTTTAGGAAAAAAACATGACAATCCTATTTTGAAAATTTTAAACTTTTTTACTCACATTTCAGGCAATATTCTCCTTTTAAAATTACCAGGCATGTTATAGTATCAAGCTCAAATATGGAATACCCTGGACCTAGTCACCTTTATTTTAAAATTATACTCCGTATGATGATGAGTTGTAGCCCATTTCAACTGGGCCAGGGCTTTGAATGGCCCTCCCTCTCCTCCGCCAAAATGGGTATGGCCTACAGGCCTAGGATGGTCCTCCCCTCCCTAGCCATTTTATTTCTCTAATTCCGCAATAATTTATTCTCTTAATTACACTGTGCTTGATCAATTAGTAACTACCCATGCTTATATGGCTGACTACCCAAGCTTTAAAGTCAAGCTAAGGGTGTTGTAGGTTCAGAAGCTTGGACAGTTGGATGACTAGCTTTCTAGTTGTTTCATTGCTTCTTTGCTACGTTGCACGGAAACGCGAAACTCATGAGGAAATGGGAAACGAGAAATCTCAACATTTACTCAAAAAACGTTTATTTAGAGAGTTTGTAAAGATTTTCCGAGAGTTTCTGAAACAAGAGTCGTATTCTTTCCCGAAAGTTTCCGTGCTACGTAGCTTCTTTGCAGTAAAACTTAATTAATGCAGAAAATAAAAATAGAATAAAAATACAAGTTTAAAATATAAATATGAAATATTTATATTTTTCGGTAAATGCAAAATAAAAATATACGGAGTAAAATATATAGGGAAAACTGTCAAATAGGTCCTCGAACTTTCTTAAAAAGGTCAATTAAGTCCTTCTATAGCAGGTTTTGTCCGGCCGTCGCGATTTGGGGCAGTTCCCGGTGGATTTTTTTGATAAATTTTTTTGAGCATCTTATTCACCAAGTCTAGTTTACTCATACTAAATTTCAGCTAAAAATTCAATCGGGAACACATTCAAATTAATTCTTGAAGATAACTGCGCATTTTTGCGTTCTTGAATTAATTTGAATGCACTCCCGATTAAATTTTTAGCTTAAATTTAGTATGAGTAAACTAGACTTGATGAATAAGATGCTCAAAAAATTTGATAAAAAAATTCCACCGGGAACCGCCCCAAATCGCGACGACCGGACAAAGTCTCCTATAGAAGGACTTAATTGAATTTTTTATGAAAGTTCGAGGACCTATTTGACAGTTTTCCCAAATATAAATTAAAAGAAATTATTTCTTGAACTTTATTTATAAATCATATATTTAATTTTTTTTTTGTAAAAAATTATTTTAATAAAAGTGTTTTAAAATGATCTGAAGGTCCATTTAACAAAACTCATTATGTTTTAGTCTATTACTTCTTCCGTCCCAAGTTTAATTGTAATTTACGAATTTTAAGATAACGTCAATCATTCTTGTGGATACTTAAATCATTTTTTATAATTAAAATTTACACATTCAGACTACCGTAAAAATTTTCTAGAGTCGCAAAATTGAATATAAAAAAAAATTAATAAGCTAAATAAGTGGATAAGTGGAGTATTAAGTATTCCGCCCCTATATTAATGTCTTACCTACCTTTGTGAGTTCCATTAAGTTAATCTCATACTACATTTAACTAGTATCAGTATGGTTCAATGTTCAAACGGTTCATATTTTATACACTTAATAGCAATTATACATGCATCACTCCCTTTTCTATGCATAAAAATAGTATGAGTTTACACAATATGTAGGCAAATTTATTTTCTTTTTTGTTATTAGGGGGAACATCTTTCAATGCTCCGACGGAGTCTATCACAATACAACACTGAAGCACGGGTAGCTCAGTTGATAGAGTGGAAAAACTGGAACATTGACCAATGATCGAAACTCGTAGCGACCCTTGTGGAGGTTACAACTCTTGCATGATGGGTTGGACCTCTGGTGCGCACGGGTACAAGATTTATCATCATTGGACTGACTGAGTAACCATGACTTATATCCTCCCAAATGCCATGTCGGGTCGAGGTGTGAGGGGCCCTTGAGATTAAGATTGAACCTGGAACATAGAATGTTGAACCAAACCCTAGACTGATAGGTCCAATTTATAAGAGCAAGCTGTCATCAGTTAAATCACCCAAGAATTAATTGCTTTTTAAATGTAAAATACTCGCCCAAGACGCAAAAAATACATTTATATGATTTCGAAGAAGATTGATCGTAAACATAAAGTAATTCATAAAGAATCTAACGGAAGAATTCAAAAAGAGTTCCCGGAGAATGAATAACTGGTGATTTTATCTCGATTCTTATGAAAAATTATAAAAAAGTACTCAAATTTTGATTCATTTATTTTTAGAACAAAACACTAATTCATATTTTATTTCAGTTCTCTTAAAAGTCTGAACCGATGTTAATAATAAGTCAAGTAAGACAAGTCATAGACACACTTCTTTACGGAGTATAATTCAAGTGTCGGAGCTTACGATCTCATAATGCTAACATCTATGAACTATCATCCAAATCCCCTAGACAGGTAAACCTGAATCTGATCACAACCAGTTTTGATGGTTTGGTTCGAAAAGACGAATACAACGAGACTTACATCATATGCCATTTTCAAGCTACTCCACCTACCACACGAATCCGCTTCATCTATTATTACCCTCTCCCTTCTCAACCCTGAACGTAAGGAGAATCATGGGGGCAAGATCTACTTTGTATTTTTATTTATTTAGTGATATTTTCATTGAAGAAGGACCTTCGGTTAAACACTTGAACTAGCCTCTATTTCCACAGGGTATTTGTATGAACGATTACAAGAGAAAGAGACAAATGATTGGAAAGAGGGCCCCGATTGGCATGGATATGGATGTAGGGAAAGGCTGTCTTCATTAACTGTAAAGTTGGGCAACTTATATGAAAACTAATGCAACTAAACTCAAAAGGACAACCAACTTTTACAAAGGTCACCAAAACGATTTGGAAATGAACAAGATTTTGGTCAGATAAGTAAAGTTTTGGGACCACTGTAGTCTGTATAGCCGTAGGGTTAGATTTAGGCCTTGGGAGAAACGAATTAGCATGCAGAATTGCAAATTAAATATGTAGAATTGCAAATATGTTTGCATCCCTTATACTCCCGTTTTCCCATTTCGAGAAATCTTACTAAAATTGTTTCATACTCCGTAACATATTAGGTAAAATTTGTGGCTCTAAATCATTCTTACTTTATTCTTACTTTGTCAATTAATATTAACCACACAAACCAACATTTCTTAATAATCATGTCATCTAGAGGGGTGGAGGTAGTAACTTCTAAATAGACTGTAAAGCGTTAAGTTTATGTCAACTGTGTCCTATTGATTATTGAACAACCTTGCGCCCAACATCATATTTATAGTGTTGAGGAACATTGAGGTTTTCACACGATAAAACACCAAACATTTTCATTTATATCTTACGATCTCTAGAATTGATTGGTAAGCCAAAAATCTAGCCACAAATTTAGAAGTAAAATCGCATGTTTGACGTCGACACTAGTTAAGGCTCAGAGTTCCGTTCAACCTCATACGAGAAATAATCTCATTAAAAACACTATTTTTAAGTCAAATTATTCATTTTTGACCGATTATATATTTATACACGGTAATATTGCTAATATGAAAATTATATGAAAATCTTCTATGTTAAAAATATTATCATAAAAGTATAAATTTATTAACTTTTACATAAATATTATAGTTAAAATAATAGATCATAGTTTATCATCTTTGACTGAAAAAGTCAAAGTTGACTAAATAAAAAGGGATGGAGGTAATAATATTTAACGGTGTGAGACTTCGATAGACACTCAATTCTATCCCTACTAATAAACTTGTGTTGAAGATAACTAAATTGAATAAATTTTCACCACCATTTTAAAAGTTTATAGTTTTTTTTTATTAAAAATGAACCTTAATTATAACTTTCATACATCTAACTTCATCTATATTTTTTGACAAAACTTTGTAACCTATTATGATATATGTTCTATAACTTCAGATCATCTACCTAATACATCTAACTTCATCTATCTAATACATATATTGTCATAATAACAAATACAAGAAAAAAAGATATTTGTAATCAAATGCTTTCTAAAAATAAAAACACAAATTCTTTTAATTTAGGAAAAATTGATTGTAATAATCCCAACTATTGGCGGTCCGCTCATAATAATCCCAACTATTGATTATTCCTGAATAATCCCAACTTTAGGGACCTTCCGCCAATAATGGTCCCTATGAATAAATTCTTGTAGTTTCTAAAGTGGATGGGATGAGATATAGCAAGTAATCCCTATAAATAATCTCAACTTTTAATTTTTACGCTTAATTTCTATTTAAAATTCACTTTTTATAGAGGTAATATCTAGTCACGGACCATTATTGGCGGACAGTCTATATAGTTGGGATTATACAAAAATAATCAATAGTTGGGATTATTGTCAGCGGACCAACAATAGTTGGGATTATTATTTTCAATTTTTCCTTTAATTTAAGGTGTCCATTGGCAACATAATATAATAATCATATAATGTGTCCCAGATTCACGTTTGGAGGAAGCATCTCATCACAAAAAACAACCATTTACAAATTACAAGTACTACGTACTAGTATATTTTAACACAATAAAAAACTACGAAAGATATACAACATTAATTAAATACGGAGTAATACATATGAACTATGGGATGCAAGATATCATAAATTAGTTAATAATTTTCTTGTGATCCAAAGATACACATCAGAAACCCCATTAATAAAATAGAAATACAATAAACCTATTGACCCAAATTTTCCTGAGTTGGTGGATGATTATCATTATTCCTAGAAATGCAACATTGTTGTACACGTCGTTACGTTACACCTCAAATATCATGATCAAGAATCTCCTAATGACTACAAAATATATATAATCGTTAGAAGAAGAAAAACTTCATTCTATAATTTCTATTTGATGATTTTTTTCCCAATCTGTCTTATTATTATTGCTAACTAGCTAGTCAACCATCCCTAAGTCAATAGTTCTATTTAGAGGTACACTTCAGTAGTTTACCCACATTACTGAGAGTCAACGCCTGAGAAAGACTTTCCGTCAGCGGCGGCACTCTCTCCGGCTCCGAGGATTCGCTTGCGGAAGTCGGAAACCATGAGAGGAAGTCCGTCCCGGAGAGAAACGGTGGGTTCCCAACCAAGGAGCTGTTTGGCTCTTGTGATGTCTGGCTTCCTCTTGTGAGGGTCATCTTCTGTGTTTGCTCTGAATTCTATCTTAGCATTTGGATCAATTGTGTCCTGTACAACCTGCACATTAAATTTTCCATGTCAATTTCATTTTTTAAATAATGGTATTCAAGAATATCATCGGTGAAATTTGACTATCATTGAATTAGAAAAGTCAATATATATGACGAAGCTTTTTGGAATAAACATGTTCCTCTTTCTCTGGTTATACTAAGATCACATTGCAATATTTAATGCATGATAATAATATTATAATATGATTGTATAATTTAAAAATGGTACGTAGTGATATTTTGCCCTTAGTGAAATAAAACATAAAATCCTATTTACGGGCTGCCCCGTTTTGCTTTGAGAAATTCTCAGTTTAGTTGCAAAGGTTGAATAGGCATAATTTAGAATGAATTATCTAAAATTTTAGAATCAATAAAGACGGGACAATAATTAATTTAACTATTTTAGCTTTAAATATTTTGCTGGAAAGGAAGATTTAACTATATTACGGAGTAATTCGTAAATAAACCCAATGCTTTGGTTCACGAAATCAAATGAATTAATTAGGGAAAATGTAAACTAATAAATCCATCCTTTTAGCGGTTTTATTACAATAGTCCGACTTTTTCGTTATTCATGAATAATCCAACCTTTGCACCTCATCTTTGGTCCCTGACCGGTTGATGACCTGTTATTCCAAGTTATTTTCTTATCTTTGCAAACCATTATACCATAAATCTCACCTTTCACAAAGATAATGATCATCAACCGGTCAGGGACCAACGAATGAAGATGGAATGCAAATGTTGGATTATTTTTGAATAACGATTAGGTGAAACTATTATAGGAAGCATGCTAAAAAGTTGGATTATTAGTTTCCATTTTCTCAATGAATTAATGTTATGTGTGTTTTACTTTTTTTAAAGTCTGACATGAATCTGTTTAAGTTTGATCTAATTCGTTTGATTTAAGTTTTATCTGATATGTTTTGAAACGAGTCCAAATAAAAATGTCCCAAAGTTGAATCATCTCACATATATAGTTGAAAATACGAACTTTGGGACTTGCTTGCGTCTCATGTGAGACAAGATTATACTCGGATCAAATCACATTAAGAAAGACTTCTAAGTTCTATAAACAATACAAACAAAATCATTTAAGACTTTTTAGTCAGCAATAAGCATGGCCAAAAACTGGAGTGCTCAACTATGTTGCATGGAAATACGAAAATCATGAGGACACAAGAAACATAAAACGTCAGCTTTTGTTCAAAAGAGCTTGCTCTTTTGCCAAAAAGTTTCCGTAGAATTTTTAAAACGGAAACATACTCTTTCTCGAGAGTTTCCGTGCTATATATATAGGTGCTCAAGAGCATATCACAAGTCCCAAAAGAATGATTAGGGGGTGTTTGGAACTGATTCTGCTTTTGCTTCCTTTTTAAAGCAGAAGCAGAATCAGAATCAGTTTTCAGAAGCTTGTCTCCCCAGCTTCTGAAAAATTAATTCTAGGAGTAAATTGGAGCTTCAGAATCACTTCTGCACTTTCACTTAAAATACTTCAACTTCTGTTTTTGCTCCTTGAAGGAGTAGAAACAGTTTTCAGAATAAGATCCAAACACCCCTAAAAATAGCATATACGAAGTATATCGAGTAACAAATTAAATAGGAGTATACCTTTGCCAATTCGAGCATGGTAAATTCTCCGGGGTTCCCAAGATTGAATGGACCAACATGATCACCTTCCATCAATCTGATCAGCCCTTCAACCTATTCAGTAATTAAATCTATAATCCTTAATCCCTCTATCTGTTCGATCAGTTACGTTTTATGTATATACTTGTCTATTAAGGTAAAATTACTATTTTCTGCCTCATTGTAAAATTATACAATGAGTAGTTAGACAAACAGCAACATTGTATAGACACTAAAAAATGTGCATCAAAACTAGTAATCGTGCAAAAATTACAAAAATATCTAGATGTAAATTTTGGATCGTAATATTTAGAGTTGTAATATCCATTCGTAGCAAAATGAAGATCATTTTAGAATTAAAATTTAAGTTAATGGGTGAATGGATACCTAACTATAAAAGAACATACCAAATCAGACACGTACTGAAAACTCCTTGTCTGCTTCCCATCTCCATACACAGTCAACGGTTCCTTCCTTAATGCCTGTACAAATAACAGTAATCATTCAAAATTTAGCCATATCATTACAAACCGTTTGGTGAATTGACGTTGATTTTGGATTGAATAATTCATTGTAGTAAGATAAATGTGTACAATGAGTTTTTTTATTAGATTGAATAAAACAATATCCTAATGAAAATGATAAAAATATTAATTCATTTATGTGGGTGTTAGTAAAGTACTACGTATTAGAGCTAGGCTTAAAATATTGTATACATAACATAGGTCGTTTCCATCGTTTGCAATGGGACTAAAGATTCACTATTTTTTTATTCGTGAATATGATGGAATAAAGCAAAATGACTCACTAAGCAGTACTCGATTCATGCAATTTCCGACGCAATATTCATCATGAGATCCGGAAACTCCCATGATAACATAGGACGTCGTTTGCACACGACCGGTAAACTCCCAATTATTTATTTAGGTTAAAGATGGACCCTAATTAGCTCGTCAAGCTTAGCTTCGAGAGATAATTAATGCACAAAATGACTAATTTTCCCAAAAATGATTCCTATTAATAAAACAAAACAAGGATACTCATTATTGTGCACTTGCGCACATAGCTCGTGTATTAGTTTTATTTTAAAACTTTCATAATAAAAATATCAATAATATGTTGATATGTGTGTATATCAATTGTAACGAAGTGCCAAGCTATTTAACTAGAATGGAATGAATCTATAAGTTGGAATTTAGAGGTTAGACCTGAGCAACGAAATTGCTAACAACGCGACCATCATCAAGGCACATACGGGGTCCATACGTATTAAAAATCCTAGCAATTCTAACCTGCAATTACAAAAAAAAAACATTACTCACTTGTATATCCATAGAAATTCTTCGTATATATTATTTATATGTATGAATGACTTATGATATTTCCACGTGTATCAAAATTTTCTAATCAGAAATGTTAGGTGTATCCCATTTTGTATACAGACAACTATGTCTACGTAGACAAACAGTGTGAATGAATATACAAAATGGAGGTACATCTAGCATTTCTCTTTTCTAATTTGGATGGATCTGATCTATTTAAGTTGGTTCATTTAAGTCGTGTTCGGTGTGATGAATGTATGATATACAAAGTATAAGTATGTTGTTATTGTTTATGTTTGGTGTAATTTGATATGTTTAAGTTTAAATTGATCTTGTATATGATTTAAACAAATCTGATCGAATGAAGATATCTTTAGTTCTTAAATATTGAAAACGTAATTAACCTCGATGTTGTGTCCTCTATGGTAGTCCATTGTCAATGTTTCGGCGGTACGTTTTCCCTCATCATAACAACTCCGAACACCTGAACATATGTATATAGATTTCAACCTTAATTTGATTTAAGGTATAGTATTATACCTTAATTTAATTAAGGAATGCTAACATGCATGCATAATGTAATGGTATCATCCAATGTTCAATGTAATGAGGAGTTAATTACATGCAGTTAGATAGATTACCAATGGGGTTAACATTTCCCCAGTAAGTCTCAGATTGTGGATGCTGCAAAGGATCACCATACACTTCACTGGTGCTGGTAAGTAGAAATCTAGCTCCCACCCTCTTTGCCAGACCCAGCATGTTTAGTGTTCCCATCACATTTGTCTTGTGAACATTTGGTTAAAGAAAAACCCAATATATGCACAAATCTCAAGTGCTCAACATATAAACCACTTAATTATATGTAGTATGCCTTAACTATCAATCAATCAATGAATTACCAAATCTAAAAACACCCCATTAATAACATGCCATGTTGTGTATATAAGTATAGCATGCATGATTATGGATAATTACACTTGAACTTAAATGTTTTCTAATCTAATCGGAACTAGTGTGACTGGTGTGTTTAAATCTTATCGCGTTTGATATGACTTACTCCATTTAAGTAGGAAAAGAAGGAAAAATATGTGAAGAAATAAAATTTGCGATTTTAAAACTAAAATTTTAAGAAATCTTGCCTAGCTCAAATGAAAAATAGAGCACATAATAGACTTCCATATACGGAAAGTGAACATGGAAAGTAATAAACATAATGATACGAAGTATATCTTTGAAGGTTATTTTACTTGCAATCGATAATAAAATACGGAGTAATTGTAGGAAACCCCTGATGTTGTATGGTAAGAGATCGAATATGTTGGTCAACACTTAACAGTGACAAGTATAACAAGAATGTTTCGTTAGTCAGCCTGGTTAATTAGCATCTTGAAGGAAAATACGTTTTCCTTAGAACATAAGTGGCTAATTTCGAGGAAAACATTTTGATATAGACATATAGTCATATGCATGTTCAACAACCTAATTAAGTACTCCGTATATGTCTGCATCATTTTTGTACAACTTTATTTACATTCATGTGTAAGGATGATTTAATTAAACTAGATTCAGTCTTACACTAAACAAAATCAAACCAGATTATACTTAAAAGATCAAACCAGATCATGACAATTGTAAGATACACTAACACAAAAAGCGACCAAATCAGACCATTTCAGACCAGACCGAACTTGTATATACCTGATCACATCACGAAATTACAGTCTAATTTAAAACATCTTACATCTATAAGTTATAAAATTAATTTTGATATTTTTTAACAATTCAATAACACATGAATATACACACAAAAGTCATGCATGTTTCTTTGTCCTTAACTTCAACATTTAGCCCTTGATGGTCTCTTGCAACGTATTTGACCATGTGTATGTGTTATTTTTGTGCATGTACTTACATATTTATTTGTTTATTTAGTGTGACGATTGACGAAGGCAATCAACACATACTACCTCCGTCCATCAAACAATTTCCCAATTCCCTTATTTAGCTGTCCCTAATTTAACTTCTCATTTCCTTAAATGACAAGTTATCTACATCAAAACAGTGTCAAACAGTCCCAAACAGTGTAGAAACAGTAAAATTTACCTCTGATAAGTTTATTTTCTTAATATGTGTGTAAGTCAAACCGGGAAGTTGTTTCGGGGACGGAGGGATCGGAGTATTTATTTGTCATTAACTAAGAAAATAATAATAAGAGGTGTAAAGAAGGATATGATGGTCTTGACAGGGTTATACTTGTAATAGACCGGTGAGGCGGGGCATGCCAAATGGTAAATTTGGTCCACTTCCAACATGATAGGCTCCACCACATCGTGCCGGATGAGTTCAAATTTCGGGTTTCCAAAGTGCTGTAAAAGATTCTCCTTCTGACCAGTAAAAAAGTTATCAACCACAATTACATTATCGCCCCGGGCGATTAAGCGGTCTACCAAATGGCTCCCCACGAACCCGGCTCCCCCGGTTACCAGTATCCTCAATCCCTTCCTCGTCAACCCTTGTGGAACTCTTCCACCTGACAAATTAATACTCACACTATTTACATCCAGTTAATTACCTATCTATTTTTGTCATGTCCATGTCACTAATATTTGAATGAAAATGACACTTTAAATTTAAAACGCGCGGTTTCATATTAATTGTTCATTTTCCTATCCATCTCAAATTATAGAAATATACTGATGCTCATTGGATATTCGTAACTTTCTTTTTTTATAGCATTTCCAATGCCACAATGTGCATAATGCACACGTGACATGAGAAAGATAGACACATAAATATTAGTGCGTGGAAAGGGTTAATACATTTTTTCCTAAGTTTTTATCTACAATGTCAAGAAGAATGTCTAAATGTAGATATTGGGTTTGACCGTTAAGATAAATTGCTAGTATTAAAAACATACTCCTTATAAAACTATGAAAAGAAAGAGAGAGAAATGTCATTATATTGATTCATTTTTATGTATTTATCTGTCTCGTGCTATATTTGTGTCATGAATATGTAAAATATACTCTGTATTATCAATCTCTCCACCTAAAATATCCTAAAGGATATACCTAAATGTTTACAAAATGTGGTACTTTTAAAATTAAATAAGTAAACTAGATGATGTAAATCATAAGTTACTCCATTTCCCACTTAAAATGTACACCCATATTATTTGGGGAAAATTCCCTAAATAGGTGTAAAAAAGTGTTAGAAATTTTAAAAAAGCACTATCATATTTTTATTTCCTAAATAAAAGTAATTTTTACTAAGTTTGACAATTACTCTTATTTAGACAATAAAAAAGATGAAGATTCTATTTAAAAATTTTCCAATCGTTTTTATTACTCAGAGCAATTTCTAATGTTATATTGATGCGCGTGGTCATGGTTGGTCTACTTTTCAAATCGATTTGTTTCGATTTGTTTGACCGTTTTTTGTTCATAAATGCATGCATTGAGAAAGCACGTGCATATACACTTTGGGAATATTAATTAATTAATGCGTAATTAAAGCACACATTAATGGCTAATTAAGATGAAATCAAGTATCAAAGACAGAGAAAGTTGACGCCTGCCTGCTTTGACGTGGTAGCCGGTCTGGTGAAGCGCCTCGTACATAACCCTCCGAGGAATGACCGGAGACTCGGCCCCTCCGGCCGCCGGAGAAGAATATGGGCCGTACGTGAATGCCATCGCCGACAAGCCCACCCCGAAGAGGAGGCAGAGGACGCGCTGCTCTCGGAGAACGTAATGCGCGGCGGACGACAAGGAGGGTCGACGCCTTTGTGGGCGGCGGTTCGCCGTGGGAATTATTAGGTCAGCCATCTTTTTTCTATGGAAATGGACGGCGGATTACGGGGGCGGATGTTGATCGGAGAAACAAGAAATGGTCGGAATAAAATGGATGAAATGAAATGAAAGAGTTTTATTTGTTTGTAAAAGAGAAGATGAGGCCGGAACGGATGCTTTTGCATGAATTTTGGGAGTTAAGAGCGTGTGAAATAGAATAAGGAGAGCATGACCGCTGGCCCGCTTGACCCTTTGACCCTTTTCTGTCTCATAATGGCCTGATTAAAAATATGTTCATTTTTAATTGTAATGATCCACTTTTCAGGTTTGTCAACACATAACTAAAATTTGATTATTAATATTTTTCATTTTTTACTAATAAAAACACTAAAAGTTCGTATTTTGAAGATATAAATTAGAGGAATTTAACAATAGTTTTCCAGAGTATAATTTATACACCCTCCGTCCCGTAGTATTTTGCAAAATCAACATGTTTTGGTTAATCAATAATAAAGGTTAATGCTCGCTATCGATATATAATTCAATTTTAATTATTAAAATTTATATATTCAGAAACTACATTAAAATCTCTTCAAAGTTGTAAACTTCAAATTAGAATATAATTAAAAATTGACATCCTAATTATTAAACGAATAAAATAAAACTGTTTGATCAAGAAAAGTCAAATTTGCAAATTAATTTGGACGGAGGTAGTAATACATAAATAAATAAAATGTAGTCAAAATAGAATATGCGTATAGTGCAAAATCACCAATGAATATTGGATTATATCTTAAATACTATCTCCGTCTAGCTTAAAGGTTCCCATTGTAACTGACACAGTTATTTTGACAAAAATTAAATAATGTTATTCACTTATATTTTAAGTATAGTTTTGATGTTATTCATGATAACTATGATGTTATATAAATGCATTGTTTTTAATAATTTGATGATTAAATTGTCATTGAAAAGTGTTAATTGTTTCCTAAAATAGAAAATGAGAACTTTTATATGAGACGTTCAAAAGGGTAAAAGTAAAACATTAGAATGAGATGGAAGAAGTATAACTTTCCCATAATTCAAAAAAAAATAATTACATAAATATGACCAAAATAAATATGGTTCACACTAATATGATTCATTACTAGAGTAGTAATGAACTTATAGTAATCCATGTTCAAGTTTTGAACTTAAGTTACCACAGCATTAAGTTTTAGTAATGAATAGTCATATTTATGTAAATAAGTTTTATTTTAGTAATATTCTTATAAAAAACTCATTCAAAAAATATACTAAGTTCGTCCCTTTTTATTTAAATAGAAAATCATAATATCGTAGAGATGGCAGCAAACCTACCATCTAACTTAGACGTTATGAGTTCAATCCTCAAGTTGTAATTTGTAAAATTTTGTCTATTATAAATGTATCGATCTCTCGGGACTACCCATTAGCAAGCCATATTCTTCATATTTTACATCAACCAATTCTGGCGCTTTAGCCAGAATTTTTTTTATCAATTTTCGCAGATTCAATCAATCTAGTGTTACCATGCAAAACCGATTATTAATCTCTTAACCTTTGATTGTGCTCTCATTATTGGTCGATCATGTAACTTTGCACACTTGTACATTTTGATCTATAATAACTAGTAAACATGCAATATGTTCATAAATTCATATCAATGACTCAACGGAAAATACATTTTATAAGGAAAAAACAGCCAAGTACCTTATGATCTGATGACATCACTGTGACACTTCCAAAAAAGAGATCACATATTCGAATTTTATCCCAGTTCAAGGATGTTGGCCTTAACACAATATATATACTTTATATTGTATTAAGTTCGAGAGATTTACCACAAAAGACGTCCTTAACGTCAAACATCAATCGGATATCTACACACTTTTTGATGAAAAAGTCTTTAATATGGACGAGTTGAATAGTTACCGTAGAAGCAAGTAAAATTATGTTACATGGTAACATGGCTAAA